CGATTAATCATGCATTTACCGAATTTAACCGATTATTCCCCCCTTACCTCAATTCAAGCTTTGATGATGAACAAGCTCCTCAATCCGCACGAAATCCGCTTGTTCAATCTGCTGATCTTGATGCTTCAGCCTTGCTCAAAACCGTGTTCTTGCTCGCTTGCTTCTTCACGTGCTCCTCTTTCCAATTCTATTTCTTCCATAATCCAAAAACACCCTTAATACCCCAAAAATACATTTTTATTCCAAATAAATATTAATCCTTCTTATAAATCCAAATAATATCACTTCCCTCATAATTATTAATATTAATAAAAGTAATAATAATAATAATAATACTAACATCAATATTAATATTAATTATTAATTATTATTATTACTATCAATTATCCAATATTAATATTATGCTTCTCATTCTTTCCTCAATCCTCACACACAACACAACACAGAACAAATTAATACTGAAAACTGAAAATAATTAAAATGGGTATTATAAATCTTACACATTTCTAAATTGAAAAAGTTAGTTATAAATTTTTTCTTTTTTTTCTCTCATATATTTTATCTCCATCTTTTTCTGTATTGTTAATGAAAGTTTGTTGTTGAATTCCAATCACAGTATATCCTAATGTATTTATATAATTTTAGAAAATATAAAAGGCATAAACTTGATCCTATAAAAGAAAAATTTTTGATTATGAGATTAATTAACAAATAAATTGATTGGCATGATCAATCTTTTTTTTTAACCTCTTCCATTTCTTTAACTGTTTTACTTTTGAATATAGTTTTAATATGTTTAAGGTTTTGTTTTACTTTCTAGCACAGTATCAGTTGGCAAGTTTCCTTTCTCTTTTTCTAGGTGTCGTTTTTTTTTTTAATAAATTTTGTGCTTGTAATTTTTTGGAACAATTTTTCACTGTGTGTATTTTTTTCATTTGTGATTGAGAAATTTGGGATGGAGTTTGATAAACAAATTGATAGAATCAATTAATTCAACAAACGTTTGGAGTCTTTTTAGTTATATCTTACTAAAATTTACTTAAATACACGTTATAAGAATAAGTGGGTCTTAGATATAAAATAGACAAAATTAAATATAACAAATGAAATATTTTAAAAACTATTTAATATACACTATTAGTTTAATAGAAAAATTGATAAATTATTATTTGTCAATTTCGTCTCTTTTTGGTATATTGTTTTATTGTTTTGCTTTTTTTAAAAAAATAAATTACTCAAAAAATTAAGTTATTGAAAGACATAATTCATATATGAGATAATTCTTTTTCACTAATCAATTAATAACTTTTTTTTATATCTTTAATTAAAAATAAGAATAAATATAATATACTGATTATAATTTATTTTAAAACTTATATGTTGAATAAATATGTGTCATTAAACAACAACAAAATAGTGTTTTTATTTCATATATTTGATATAAAAGAGAACAAATAAAATATATTAATGATAGTCTTTGTACACTTCATTATTTTCAGGCACCAACAGAAATGAAGTATGCCACTTTTCAGTGAAGAGAGATACCACAGTTTCTAAACATATCCATGTTTGTTTCCAATATGAGAGGAAGGTCTCGACACCAACCCAGAACATGATATTCTCATTATGTTTTGAAGGCACCCATGCTAGTATGGATCCAATGTCTACCTAAGATGATAGATGTTATGCCTATGAAGCGAACAATAATAGGTAGTGAAGGATGGCCAAAATTTACCAATGAACCTCCCAAGAGTGAGAGATGTAAAAGTTAAGTCCTTGTACCAATGAATGTGAGTCCAGCGTTTGAAGAATCGTGAATGTATTAAAATTGTAAATACCATAATGACGCGTATGAGTAAAGTTGTGAGTTAGGACATAAGTATGGCATTATCAGATTTAGGTTAGGACTTCAGTCCTGCGATTTAGGACTTTGGTCCGGCGATTTAAGATTCTCAGTCAACTAACTTTGAAATCTGGTGATGGTACCACATACATGGGAGTAGAGGAGATGAACATTACATTTTTGAATTCTTTGTGTATTAATTTATGAAATCGTGTAATGTGACTGCTAATACATGTATGTTGTAAACTATCATTATTGTTATTATATCATTAAGATAATTTTAAATGTATTTTCACCCCTCTTTATTTCTATGTTGTTACACATATATGAATATATGCAAATGACTCTAAGGTTGAGACTGAGGAGTGATCATAGTGTGGCTAGTTTATAGAGGATGTTCGTGTTGTTTTATATTATTTCATGTTTCGTTAGACCTAAAGTAAGCTAGTAGTTTTATTTTGTTTCGTAGGTCTGATATTATAACATCAGAATGTGATATTTGTTTTGTTATTTTCCCATAATTAATGTTGAAATGAACCACTATGTTTCATTATTATTGTTTTGGATTTAGTTTTCCCATTTTTAAACATAAGTTAAGTATTTGTTATGTGACACCTTCAATACTTCTATTATATTCCACAACATTTTATTGATTAAAAATGTAAATTTTCAGTATGAGTTTAGGGTGTTACACATCCAATCAGTTATAAGGTTTGTTGTATGCCTAAGGATCAAGGTGGCTTAGGCATTAAATAAACTCAACTAATGAATGGTGCTTTTATGTTTAAAATTCTTTGAAATTTCTTGATTAATCCTAATGATTTATGGTGTTAAGTTCTCATCAACTAGTATGACAGAAAGCAAAACCTATTGGAAAATATGATAAGCAAGTTAAATAATCCCCCTTTATTGAGAGCGTTGACTAAGGTGCAAGACAAGTTTCAAAAGAATATTAGGTGGAAGATTGAGAATGACAGAAGAGTTAATTTTTTTCTAGATCGGTGGACCCCAACATAGCAATCACTTTTCTTAAATTTGGCTCAAGTGGATACAATGTGGATACCACCCTCAAGGTTAAATACACAGTTACTAGGAAACAGAAATGGAACTTAGAGTTTCTTTAGAACTAGTTCACAGGAAAATTAGTTGATTGTATTATGGCTATCCCTTATCCTCTTTCAAAATATGGTGTTGATAAGCTATGAGTGGGGTCATAATGACAAAGAGTTTACTGTGGATAATGCCTTTAATAATCTTTCTCCTCATCCAAATTTAGGGGAAACAGATGGGGACTGAAATAACATATGGAAGTGGAAAAACCCCCACTAGATCTAAACTTCCCCTTAACTTATGTTTAATGAGAGACTTTTGACTAACTCGATGTCATACGTGGAAACAGACTTTCTCTAGGAATTGAGATTAGTGTACGAATAATGAAAAAAACTTAATTCACGTGCTTCAGAATTTCCTTTATGCAATACGTGTATGGATTAGACTTGTTCCTTATAACAAAATGACTCATTTTTACTCTTTGACTTGCAGGGAATAAATCCCTTACAATCTTAAAGAAATAGCAATGGAGTTGCACAAAGACCATTAAAGTTAAATATTTATGATCTCATATTGATACTTATGGAAGTGGATGAACAAAGTTCTATTTGAAAAAGGCTTTTAAAGACCTGGCAACCCAATCGAAACCACCACACATCTGGTTAAGGATATCCAGATTGGTATTCAGGTGCAAAATAATGTTAGATCCTTAGTGTTAGAAATCAAGCATGTTCAATGGTATCATCCCGAAGAAAATTGAATTAAGCTCAATTGTGATTGTGTGTATAAACATCTAATTCCACTGCAGAATGTGGAGGCTTGCTTAAAGACTCCTGTAGAAATTGGGTGATAGGTTATGCGCAGAAAATTGATTTGTGTGATGCTCTCACAGCAGAGATGTGGGCAATGATGCATAGGATTGAGCTAGCTTGGCGGGTCAGGATTACAAACCTAGTGGTCGAAAGTGACTCTAAAATCTTAATAGATTTGTTAACTAAGAGATTGAGGACGATCACAACTTACAAATCTTAGTTCGTAAAATTAGAAGGATGACTCAAAAAGAATTGACACATGAAATTCAATCTGCTTAGCGAGAAGAAAATTGGTATGCAAATTGGATAATCTAACTATAGTCTTACTTTAAATAATAATTAACTTAACATTCTTTCAAATCTTGTGTCGGATGAGTTAAATCTCAATTTAACTGATGATAATTTTAAGGCTTATTTCTTTAGACGTATAAGGGTGTGTCGTTTAACTTTATTTATTTATTATTATGACAATTTTAGGTATGTTAAACTTTGACTTATTAAAAAAACCCATTAATTAACTTAACTATAGTAATTATAGAAAATTCTTCACCCCTCACTTTTTATTTTATTGGATTCCTTTTAATATATATATATATATATATATATATATATATATATATATATATATATATATATATATATATATATATATATATATATATATATATATATATAAAAGATAATACATTGCAGTGTAAAGAAATATTACACACATTCAATTAGACTATTGTAAAGTGGCAAATCATAACGGTATTTTAAAAATAAAAGTGTGATGTGGTGGGATACACGTCTGTTATTGGTTGACCATGTAAAAATATTTTACACTATCAATGTATATTTCTTTTTCTTAAAATAGTAAATTGAATATTATTTAAGAGATTAAAAAGACATGTTTTTTTTAAATATATGTGTATTTAATGTACTGAAAAGAGAAATAATCACATTTAAAATAAAATATTGTATGTATTGAATAAAATATATATATATATATATATATATATATATATATATATATATATATATATATATATATATATATATATATATATATATATATATATATATATATATATATATATATATATATATATATATATATATATATATTTATTGATAAAATACGTTTAGTATTTTTTGGTGAAGTTGAATGCTTTGAAAGTTATTTTTCTATGCTCTTGTTAATGAAATGGATAAGATAATATATAAAGAAAGATTCTGTCATTTGTTTTCTGAAGAGTGAACTAAGAGTTATTTTCTTGTTGTGGCTGAAGGAGCAACACAACCTCAAATTGAACATGAAGAGTTTCAAAATTTTAACCTCAACATTCAACACCACTTTCTTCCCTATCTATGATAATCTCTGCACCACCAATCTTCTCACTCCTTCCTTCCAAAACCCGAAAACAAAACCTATTGCTCAGAATTTCAAACCCCATTTTCTCCTATGCGCTTCTCTTCCTAGTAAGTTTCCCTTTCTATCTCAATTTCAAGTTTTTTTCTTGTTCTCAACATGGGTTTGTCAAAAAGATTGAACCTTTGCATTCATTTGAAGTAATAAGGTCTCATTAGATAGGGGTTTGAATTGAAAACATTCGAAAATTTCAGTAACAAATTTCATTTAACTTTTTGTATTATTTGAAGGAAATTTTTGGATAAACAACTTAATTATAATTGCTTTTAGGTCCACAAGCTAGTAATGCTTCCATGGCTGAAGTGGAGGAACAAGAAGAGGTTGAAATTGTAAAGGGTTACACCATGACACAATTTTGTGACAAAATGATAGATTTGTTTTTGAATGAGAAAACCAAATCAAAGGAATGGAGGAAGTATTTGGTGTTTAGGGAGGAATGGAAGAAATATAGGAATAGCTTCTTCATTAGGTGCCAAAGAAGAGCTGAGATGGAGAATGAACCAACAAAGAAGGAGAAATTTGCTTCATTGGGGAGAAGGGTGAAGAAGGTAACACATTATTTAATTCTATCTCTATGTTTCTTAGACTATGTTTGGATTGATGAAATGGAATGGAATGAGATGAAATGTTCTATTGTTTGGATTAATCAAAAAAGGATGGAATGGAGCAGAACCTGATGGAATGGAGAATGCATTTCATCCCAATCCATCACTTTCCATCATTTTTTGTACGCTCTGAATTGGGTGGATGGCAAAATTGCTCTATTCCATCATGAAATACTCAAACAATGGAATGAGATTTTTATTCTATTCCACTCCGTTCCACTACATTATACTCAGCTCCGCTCCATTCTGCTCAGTTTGTTTTACAATATCCAAACAAGTTCTTGACAACCATGCCCCTTTGTAATGTTGTTGGTGTTATGAAAGAACCTTTTGTGCCAAATGTAACGTGTAAAAAGAAAATAGATCTTCTTTTTCCCTTAACTTGTTTTGGCTCAAAATATAATGAAAAGTTGAAAATCAAAGATTGGCAATGAATCACAATTTACTATCATATTTAGACTTTTTCTTGGTTTTAGAGCTTCTTCGCCGGTTCTGTTTGATCAGGAGTAAGCATTGCAGATTGATGATGAAATGGAAGGACATTATGAACTTCTCAAGGAGATACAAGATTTTCCGACCGACATTAATGCCATAGTTGCACGAAGGCGCAAAGACTTCTCTGGAGACTTTTTCCGCTACCTCACTCTTATTGCAGATACTTATGACAGCTTGGAGGATCGTGATGGTAATTGTTTTTGAGATTTTTTTTGGTTATTTTTCTCTTGATAATTGCTTGTTGTAAATCCACTAATCACCGGAAAGAATGATTATTTTTCTGCTGATTGATCTTTATTGAATTTGTTGAACAGGGATTGCGAGGCTTGGAGCTAAATGCTTATCTTCTGTCAGTGCATACGATAATACTTTAAAGAATATGGAGACGTTAGACGCTGCGCAGGCCAAATTTGATGATATCCTCAATTCTCCTTCAATTGACGCAGCTTGTCAGAAAATCAAAAGCCTTGCAAAGGCAAAGGAACTTGATTCTTCATTGGTATTGTTGATAAACGGTGCTTGGGCTAAAGCGAAAGAATCTACCACAATGAAGAATGAGGTATGAAATTTTTAATATTATTCACCATGGCTTTCAGTATGTTCTTCCTATGAAGCACAATCACAGACACTAAACACGACTCTGATTTATCGACACAAATAATAATTTAAATAAACGAATAACTTATTTGTAATCACATATGTCACTGTCGTTTCGGTGTTGGTATACACACATATATAGGAATGTAGCACCAATCATTAGAAATATGTTCTCTTCCGGTGTCAGTGCACAATAGCATGACCATACCGCTCAATATTATGCAGGTGAAGGAGATAATGTACCAATTATACAAGACAACAAAGAGCAGCCTAAGGACTATTGCTCCAAAAGAAATAAAGCTACTGAAGCATTTGTTAAACATCATAGACCCCGAGGAGCGATTCTCTGCCTTGGCATTGGCTTTCTCTCCTGGCGATGAACGCGACGCCAAAGATCCTAACGCTTTATACACGTGAGAACATTTCCTACTGCTTCATTCTTAAATATATCTTTCTTTTATGATTGTTCTGATAGCGACACTCCTCTTATTTGTATGTGATTAATTAAACAGCACACCGAAGGAGCTCCACAAATGGATTCAGATCATGCTCGATGCATATAGTATGAACAAGGAAGAATCAGATTTGAGAGAAGCTAGGCGAATGACGGATCCTATAGTTATTCAAAGATTGTTTATCCTCAAGGATACCATTGAGAAGGAATATATGGATAAAAAAGCAGTTCAGAAGTCTGAGACAGAAGATGACTCCCAATCAGAAGTGTTTTGAATTGTCATTCTTGACATGTTTTTTGGTCGAGTGAAACATGAGTTTTCCTTTATATACTAGGATTTGTAGTCTTGTACTTTTCACCAGCAATGTGGATGATGTTACATGTCATTTTGAGGTGTAATGTAGTATAGAACCAGAAGTAGTTTCTTATGCATGCATGTTTGAATCAATGAAGATGTTGGGTACTAGGAAATTGGTAATAGAAAGATATTAGTTCTGCCTAAAAACAATAGTTTGAGCATAGGCAAACTTTTGCAAAAAAGCCAAGTTGTCTAATTCAGTGTTTTAAAATTGATAGAGGTGGAGAATTCACATATATTGCATTCAGTTCTTTTGTAGCATGCATGGCATGGTATGTGTTTTAGAATTGAGTTTTTAAGTTATGCCCATAAACTTTTGTTAGAAGTGAATATACAAATTTCACATTGACTTACTCTCCAAACTAAACAAAAGATTTTACATTGTGATTTCAAATGAGGATAAACCTCCTTTATATAGGGGGAAATATGGCTCAAAAATAGAGGGTTTTAATATTAAGCTATTTCCAATCATTAAGAGGTTTGTTTTTAATATTAAGCTATTTCCAATCATTAAGAGGTTTGTTCCAATCGATTTTGAGTGTTACAAACTGTTAATTAGGAAATAATCTTTGCAGTTATTGTGAATAATTTACATTTATAGAATAGGAAATTAGTCATTATGAATTGTAATTAGTCATTATCAGCTATAATTAGTTATTATGAGTTGTAATTACCGACACTATTATATATAGTATGAAAGACAATGAGAAAGGCATCAAGCCAAATTTCGTGACATGGTATCAGTAGGTTCGATCAAACCTGGAAAATATTATTCTATTGGCTGATCAGCGATACCCCACTAGTTCGCTCTCGTAATCGTGTTCGTTTCGAAATTCTTTCGTTTGAAATCGAAACCTTGCAGCTGCCTGAGATTCTAAATCTTTGGTTGCCGGTTCGTGATTTCGTCTTGGAGATTCTCGTTGTTGCGCTGATATTGCAATCAATTTTTTTGGTTCTTGGCTGTTGTTGCTTCGTGATTCTGGATCGTCATAATCTTCTGTTTTGCCGCTCCTTCCAAATCGTGGATTTGATCGTGCTGTTGTTCGTTGGTTCGTGGGTATTGTTTCTTGTTGCTGCTCTAGTAACTGTGATTACAGTTACTGTTATTATATTATAGTTATTATTATTATTATTATTATAAATATTATTATAATAATAATAAAATAATATTAGTGAGATTGTATCTGGTGGTTTAATAATTTAGATGGCTTCCGAAAAAGAAAGAGATAATTTTTGTGTTCGTTTTACCGGCAAGAATTATTCGGCATGGGAATTTCAGTTCAAGATGTATGTTAAAGGAAAGGGATTATGGAGTCACTTAGATGATGTTTCTAAGGCACCAACGGAGAAAACTGCTTTAGATGCGTGGGAAACTAAAGATGCTCAAATTATCACTTGGATTCTAAACAGTATTGATCCTCAGATGATAAATAATTTGCGTTCTTTTTCAACTGCTCAAGAAATGTGGAATTATCTGAAGCGCATTTACAACCAGGACAATTCGGCAAAACGTTTTCAGTTGGAGTTAGACATCGCCAACTACAAACAAGGTGATTTGTCTATTCAAGAATACTATTCTGGTTTTTTAAATCTTTGGGCAGAACACTCTGCTATTATACATGCTAATGTTCCCAAGACCTCTCTTGCGGCTGTTCAAGAGGTCTACAACACAAGTAGGCGAGATCAATTTCTTATGAAGCTTCGTCTAGAATTTGAGGTTGTCAGAGGTGCTTTGCTAAATAGGAATCCTGTTCCTTCTTTGGATACATGTGTTGGTGAACTTCTCAGGGAGGAACAACGTCTCCTTACTCAAGGAACCATGTCTCATGATACTGTCAGTTCTGAGCCTGTGGCAATTGCATATGCTGCTCAAAGTAGAAATAAAGGTCGTGATATGCAACATGTCCAATGTTTTTCTTGCAAACAGTTTGGACATATTGCTCGTAGCTGCAGTAAGAAGTTTTGTAATTATTGCAAACAACAAGGTCATATCATTTCTGACTGTCCCACGCGTCCTCCACGACCAGCACATCATTCGGTGAAGGCATTTCATGCCACTACAGGCCATACAATTGGCTCTTCCACCACTGGTGCATCAGATGGCAATGCTCTACAACCTGAAATGATTCAACACATGGTACTTTCTGCCCTTTCAGCCTTGGGTATTAAGGGTAAGTCTTCTCATGTTTCTCGTCCATGGTTTATTGATTCTGGTGCATCCAATCACATGACAGGTTCACCTGAAAACTTGCACAATTTACATTCTTATCATGGTAATCAGAAAATTCAGATTGCTAATGGTAATACCTTGTCTATCACTAACGTTGGGGACATAAACTCGGATTTTCAGAATGTGCTTGTCTCACCTGGACTTGCTTCTAATTTATTGTCTGTTGGTCAATTGGTGGACAATAATTGTAATGTTAATTTTTCTCGATCTGGTTGTCTTGTGCAGGAGCAGGTGTCGGGGAAAGTGATCGCGAAGGGGCCTAAAGTGGGAAGATTGTTTCCAATACAGTTTATTTCTAATCATTTATCTCTTGCTTGTCATAATGTTTTGAATTCCTATGAGGATTGGCATAGAAAACTAGGTCATCCAAACTCTTCTGTTTTGTCTCATTTATGTAAAAGTAGCTTGTTGGGAAATAAAAATGTTATTCCTGATGCCTCTGTTTCATGTTCTGTTTGCAAATTGGCTAAAAGTAAGACACTTCCTTTTCCGTCTGGTGCTAATCGTGCTTCCACTTGTTTTGAGATGATTCATAGTGATGTATGGGGAATGTCTCCTGTGGTTTCTCATGCTCACTATAAATATTTTGTCACATTTATTGATGATTATAGTCGTTTTACTTGGATATATTTTCTCCGTTCTAAATCCGAAGTGTTTTCTATGTTTAAGAAATATTTGACATATGTTGAAACTCAATTTCAAGCAAGTGTTAAAATTTTTCGATCTGACTCTGGTGGTGAGTACATGTCTCATGAGTTTCAGGAATACCTTCAACAAAAAGGCATCTTGTCTCAACGGTCTTGTCCCAATACCCCTCAACAAAATGGCACGGCAGAACGTAAGAATCGTCATTTGCTTGATGTAACACGCACCTTACTTCTCCAAGCTTCTGTACCATCCCGATTTTGGGTGGAGGCTCTTTCCACGGCTGTCTTCTTGATCAATCGTATTCCTTCTACAGTTATTGATCTTGATTCTCCTTTCTTCCGTCTATTTAAAATTCATCCTGATTATAGTGCTTTACATACTTTTGGGTGTGTGTGTTTTGTTCACTTACCTCCTTTTGAAAGGCATAAGCTTGGAGCACAATCCGTTCAATGTGCATTTATGGGATATAGTAACTCTCATAAGGGATTTGTGTGTTATGATGTCTCTAACCATCGTTTTCGCATTTCTAGAAATGTGACATTTTTTGATAATCAGTTTATGTTTCCCTGTGGTTCTCCTGCCATTAATGATATTGTTACTCTTCCTAAGTTTTCTATTATGCCTCAAGCTATAGAACGTTATAAACCAGGTCATGTATATGTCAGAAAACACAGACAACAGGTTCCCACACCCCTTCCCGATGCTGAACTGTCACCTGATCCTGTACCGGTTGAACCACGACGTTCTGGTCGAATATCCCGCGCACCAGATAGATATTCACCAGACAGGTATGATTCCTCACAGACTTCTCTGACTGCCACACTCTCTAGCATATCTATTCCTACTTGTTACTCACAGGCTGTTAAAGATGTGCGATGGATAAAAGCAATGACTGAAGAGCTCCAAGCTCTTCAAGAGAATTTCACATGGGATATCGTCACTTGTCCTCCAAATGTAAAACCTATAGGTTGCAAATGGGTGTATTCTGTGAAACTGAATTCTGATGGGTCCCTCAACCGTTACAAGGCTCGTTTGGTTGCGTTAGGAAACAAGCAGGAATATGGAATTGATTATGATGAGACATTTGCACCGGTTGCCAAAATGACAACTGTCCGCACAATCATGTCTATAGCTGCTTCTAATGGGTGGACTCTTCATCAAATGGATGTGAAGAATGCTTTTCTTCATGGTGACCTGACAGAAGATATTTATATGACTCCACCTCAAGGCTTATTCTCTTCATCTAAAGGCGTGTGTAAGCTCAAACGCTCCTTATATGGTTTGAAACAGGCACCTCGAGCATGGTACGAGAAATTCCGCGCCACTATACTTGGCTTCTCCTTTACTCAGAGTCAGTATGATTCATCTTTATTTATTCATAGCACATCTGCGGGTATTGTTCTGCTTCTTTTGTATGTTGATGATATGGTTATTACTGGTTCGGATCATGCTTCCATTCAGCGACTTAAGCAACAGCTACAGGCCTCATTTCATATGAAAGATCTGGGTAATCTACATTATTTTCTTGGTCTTGAGGTTCATTCTACATCCAAGGGCATCTTTCTCCATCAACACAAGTATGCTACAGATTTGATTTCTATGGCCGGTCTTGAATCGGCTAATCCAGTAGATACTCCTCTTGAGGTTAATGTTAAATATCATCGTGATGATGGGGATCTGTTGCCTGATCCCTTATTGTATCGACAACTTGTGGGTAGCCTCAACTACTTGACTATTACTCGCCCTGACATATCTTTTGCTGTTCAACAAGTAAGTCAATTCATGCATTCTCCTCGCCATCTTCACTTGGCTGCAGTTCGTCGTATAATTCGCTACTTAAAAGGAACCTCTCACCGCGGATTATTCTTTTCCGTTGGAACTTCTCTTCAGTTGAGCGCTTATAGTGATGCTGATTGGGCAGGCTGTCCTGATACTCGTCGATCTGTTACTGGTTGGTGTATGTTTCTTGGTTCTTCATTGATCTCTTGGAAAAGTAAGAAGCAAGCAAGAGTTTCTAAATCTTCTACTGAATCAGAGTA